AACAAGATACAAAATTCTCAGTGACTTCACACAATAAAAGTTTATTTCTCCCTCACATCACCATTCAGGGTGAGTTGGTTGGCCCGCCTCTACTTTGTAGCTATGCTGTCTAGAATACGTGGCTTCCAGAGAAAGAGAGACAGAGGGAGGCACACTAGCTCTTACGTGCATTGCCCTGGAGGTGACACCCAACAATCCTGCTGAAGGTAGACATGACTAGTCACATGGCTCCAAAGAAGGGAAGCTAGGAATTGTAGGGGAACACACAGATACTTGGAGAGAAAAAACTGTCTGCGACAGGTGGATTAAGAACAATCAGGGAAAGTTCAAGGGAGCAGAGTAGGGCCCAAAGGGAATTGAGTGCTGTCGAAATTACATTTTGCCTATTTCATAGCTTTGTCAAAGCCAGACATTCTGTCATCTGAAATTTGTCTGTACAATCTCTTCAGAATCCAGTGCCACCAAGCCATCTACAAATTAACTTAATATGCAAATTGAGGCTTTTTCCGATTAATAAGTGTGCGTTTTACCTAGACTCTTCTGTGACAGTATGTTCTCTGTTTTCTTGCATATTTATTGTCTTTATTATGTACTATAATTATGATTCTAGAAGTGAGAATTTTGGGTCCGTTGTGTGTTTGGATACTCTGAGCATTTCAGCACTTTTCAAATAGCATCAAATATAGCATTGTTGTTTATGTTTTTTGTTTTCCACAGATGGGATTTGTTTGACTAGGAGTCATCTAATGTAACCATATTCCTTAAGCATTCTCTTTGAATTAATCAGCTGGTATTCGTTAGTCTTTTTTCCAGGAAGAGAATCCAAGATCTTTCTAAACCTAAAAAACAATGGGGAACTCCAGATAGGTAAGGCAATATTATATTCTCTTGTCTGTGATAATTGTTATATCAAATATTTAAGTATTATTTATAACTGACCGTTAACCCTGCATCCCAGGTTTATCCACCACCTCTACTCAACTGGGTCCACTAAGCCCATATTGTCACCTCAGTTGAGTCAACACATGGAAGTCTAACCCTTGGTCAGTGGTTCTCAAGTTTGTCTACACAGTCAGCTGGGGAGCTTTAATACTGACTCCAGAAATCCTGATTTAATTGGTCTGGGGTGCTG